CCCCCCCCCCCCCCCCTTTCCTCTCGCAACGGAGATTTTGACAACAAACCTTTTTTGAGGTTGAAACTTTCTATAAAATTTGAGTTCCTAAACAAATGAGCTTGCCAGGTAACCAGAGGCCACATGAAAGGAAGAAGAAACAGGCTAGGGGAAAGAAACTGACTATTACTATTAGTAAGTGACATTTCGTGCTTAACGCATTCTCAAACCCTGGAAAGCTGCCTTGCCCTTGAGACCTTCATTTAGAACAGCTTATATTCCGGAATGCGCTTAACTTCGCCCGTGGGCTCCTGCTGTGTTGAGTTTAGAGCGGCAAGGCTAAAGGCCGGTATCCCAGCGGGCGGGGGCCGCCTGTCCCCAGCGCTCTGCCCGCGCCCCGGCATTCCAGCACTGCTGGAAAGGCCAGGCCCCTGCCAGGAGCTCCGAGCCCCCGCTAGGATCCCAGAGGACACGGCGTGCCCCGGCCCCGGGAAAAGGAGATTCCGGCCCGCCCTTCGCCCGCCGGGGGCCGGACCCGCCCTGCGCATTGGCCGCGCCGTGCGTCACTCGCGGCCGCGGCGGCAGTGGCGGCGGCAGTGGCGGCAGCAGGGCCGGGTCTTCCTTGTCACTGCGGCGGGGTTGGCGGTGGTGAGTGTCGGGGAAGGACAGCTGAGCCCTGCCGTGCGGCTGTTGCCGGTCCCGGTGTCGAGCCCATGCGTGCGGGAGCCGGGGCTCGGGCGTGGCGGAGCCCCCGGCGCAGGATGCGCGTTCCCAGCCCGGGGCGGCCGCGGAGCTGCGGCAGAAGCCGCTCGGCGCCGCCGCTGCTGCGGCAGCATCACCTGGCTGCGGTCTGAGCTTGGGGCTCTGCCGCTCCGGGCTCGGTGTGTGCCCGCCGGGAAGCGGCGCTCTGGGCGTGGGAAGCAGCCGCAAGAAGCCCGGGGTGTCCGGGGTGAAGGAAGGGAACGAGCGGTGTTTTTACTGGGATTGCAAAATGGAGGTGATGGCGGGGCGGGGGGGAAGGGGGGGGGGGCGGTTTGACATGTTTGATTTTAAGTGTCTATTTTTATATGTTTTCAGTGGGGGCATCTCCATCTGTGGGCATGTGAAGTGCAAATACTCTGCTCATTTAACTCATTTGCCGGTACAGTTTGTATTCTTTTGCTCTGTAACCTAGTTTACATTGGACATTGAGTTGGACTGAAACAGGTAAAAAGAAGAAAGTGGGCTTGGTGGCAGAAAGAGGCAGTTAATGGCGTAATTGTTGAGTAATGCTGGTAGAAGAAACACATTCGTTATGTGAAATCTCACTAACAAGAGGGAAGGAAAAACTTGTTTATTCATGTCCTGCCGGTTGACAGACCTCTTTGTTTAGAGAGCGTGTTTGTTGCAATCGTGGTATCTACTTAGGTGACTTTCCCAGAAAGGGTGCAGAGTGGAAATGGCTTTAGAATATACGTTTGTGTGATTTTGAGGAGAGACTCTGCATGACATGAGAGCTTTAAAAAAGAGAGAGGAAAAGAAAAAGACAAAATGCATCCTATCATGATCATATATGCAGCATTATTATTTTACCAAATCACGGGGGCTGTTTTTTCACCAAAGGATATATATTTAGCATGTCAGCAGAACGTTATTATAGCAGAGGGAGGGTGAGTTTTCCACCCACAATAGATTTCCTCAAAATATTCCTCACAGTATGAGGTGTTCCTAGCTCTATCTGTGCTAAGTACATCCTTTGCTGCTTTGATGATTAATTATTTCTGGAATGTCAGGGTCTGAGGATGTGGTGTTATATCTTCCACTCTCTTTTTTATGTGTGGGGAATCTCTGCAAATGCCTGGCTTTACTGCATTGCATCTGTTCATATCTCTGAAACATGAATACCAAGCTGGCTGTGTTGGGATTTCTGAAGAACAGGAATAGCTTATGTGGTTGAGTACTGCAGTTCTTGTGCTTTTTGCAATCCAATTTTTAAAAGGAACTCTGAACTTTAATCCCTTACTGATGCATTTAAGAAAAACCTCTCCCCTTAGGATTTGCCCTCTGCTGATAAAATTTCAGCTTTTTTAAGGTGTATTGAGCTGAGCACTAGGAATATTAATCTCTTATATAAAATGTCAGGTAAGTAAATATAAATCATATATTTAATGTATATATGTGTATGTGCAGGCACATGTCTGTTAGTGCTTGCCTACACTAGAAACTTCATATGTCATTGTTTTAGTATGACAAAGGTATGCAGTTTGTAGAGGTGGTTTGCAGTGGCACAGGCACTTTTACTTCCTCTGCTACTGGCAAAGAAGAGTAACGGCATTAACCGGATTGGAAACTGTGAAATTGTCATTTAGAGTTTCGTGTTTTAGGACACAGCTCCTACTTGATCATATAATGTATTGAGACCTCCAGCGTTTTGTTTTGTTTTGTTTTGTTTTGTTTTGTTTTTTTTTTTAGGGGGAGAAAAAAAAACAGTCTTAAAATTGTGGTTTTAAAAATGTCTTCAACATCAGTAAATTCATCAGGCCTTTTGAAAAGTTTAGCTGGTCCTATATACTCGTGAGTGGCTTTTTTGCTCTGCTCTCCACTGGAAGGTGTTGGTCTCTTTCTGTGAAACTGAGCTGCACAGAGATTTATTGGCAAAAATGTTGGAAGATGGGGGTGGATTGAGATGGCATAGTCCATAGAGATGATTTAAGAAAAAAAAAAAAAAACTAGTGAAAACCAGATTTTCTATTTCTGGTATAGGACAGTTAAATATGAGGAGCTTCAGAAAATCTGGCCTTTAGCGTGAATGGAGGGTTGAACCCTGAAATACCACCCTAGTGTTTACATGGATTACTGGGAATTGAACTCCTCTTGTTTCAAGTAGTGTCTTAACTGGAGGAAAAACCCATCTCTTATCAATCACGTCATACTCCCTTGCCCATTAGCAGCAAATTCTTGTGTGGAATATGAACACAAGGAAAGTAATTCCTGAATTTTTAGCATTTTTAAATGAAACTAGCACTAGGGAAGATGACTGTAGTCTATAGGGAGCCGACTGTTGAGGTACCCTTTTAGAAGGTATCCCAAATTAATATTTAGCTCATGTGGTACAATGTCATTGCAGTTCAAGTTGTATACTGGTGAACTCTTTTCAGCTCAGGGGCAGTATCTGTTTATCCTAGCAGGGAAGGTGATCCGTGGCTCTTCAGGATTGCTGCTGTGTCTTTGTAGCACACGGTTCCCCAGACTGAGAGAAATGGCAGTCCCAGATTTCTGCTGTTCCAGCGTCAATTTTGAAACAATTCCCTGCACCTTCAGGGTGTTGCTCATGCATTTTTAGTTTGGGTTTTTTTGGTGGTGTGATAGAACATGAAGTTCTTTTTAAATGTAGCTGTTTAAAGCACATGCACACACTTCAATTTTCTTGTGTCCCATGGCATTCCTATTCTTAGCGTAGCCAGCATAGAGGGTATCTTCCATTAGGCTCTTGTGCTTAGGGCAACCAAATACAGAGTGTATACCATGACTGATTTAACTAGGCAGAACCTGCTCCTGCTTTTTTAACCAGGCAGAGTCTTGTTAAAGGCTCCTGCTTTTTCCTCTGTGCTTTGGAGCTGGCCAGTGATAAGCACACGTGGGTGTGAATGAGTTGAATTATGCTGCGAAGGAAGAAGGGCTGCTAGAGATAAACAGGGTCGTGCATTACTTTAAAGCACCTAATAAGAGATCCTAGTAAACAGTTTGTGGTAGGAAATTGCACCACTGATGAAGTACTAACTGGAAAATACAATCCTCTCTCTTCCCCTTCCAGCTCAGTGTGCCTCAGTGGAAGTGACCACAGCTGACAAGCAAAGGGTAAGAGATGAACAATCATGTTTTAGGGCTTAGATTAGGGAAAGGCCTTATTGCTAATACCTAGAGCTTGAATTAGCACCAAGTTTTGGAAACAAACCAAGTGCGTGTGCTTCCTGTCTGCTCAGAGTGGGAGAAAGAATCTTTGGCACTTCAGGGGTTACCCTTTGGTTTTCTGTCTTGTGCTCTGTTACTAAATGTTGCTGCTGCTGCAAATAAAGCTGTAGACAGTTTCTAGTCCAATCAGAGGAGTTATCAATGTCTTACTGGTATAGCATGCTTAACAAATAAACAAAACCTATTGAAATTAGGAGTGACAAAGGAGTATTACTAAAATCTTTAATGTGCTTCTTATGGAATACTGTTTTCTTCCCACAGCTTTTATGCATTAGCATCCTGTTGCCTTTATCAAGTTCAAGCCAAGTAATTCCTTGGACCTTTTATATTGCTATATTTTTTCCCTTCCTGTGTTACTCCACTCTGAAATCCCTGACTTTCACTGAGTACAGCACAGAAGATAACTCCTGGCTGCTGGCAAGTTGCAGCAACGTGACCTGCAACGTGACCTGTCCATTGCTGTCATGGCCAAGCTGTCAGTGTGCTACTCCACGTGAACTGCTTCTTGTGTAATTCTTGCTGCAGTTCAGGGGTGTATGTATTCGGTGTGTGGCTCAAGTTCAGAGTGTGTGTGTGTGCATGCACAAATTTGGGTTGCAAGGCTGTGTTCAATTGAGCAGAGTACTTCTTAAGAGGTGTTTATCAGAAATAACACATTTCTGCATTGGCCAGTACACCACAAATGTCTGTGTCATTCTGTTCAGGGCTAGTCTGACCACCTTGGAGGTAATTTTTAAAAGTTTATGAAGAAGTTGTCTCAAATATGACACTCTAAAAGATCAGATTTGGACCTGTTAGTCTGAAAAGCATTACAGTTGTTTTGGGGCATTGTTTGATATTTGGGTTTGGAAGCAGAGTAATTTTGCAGTGTAAAAGCTCGGTCTCCTGGGTTTCAGAACATTTCTGCTGCCTCACAGATGGAGATGGCTAAGGCATGAAGGTTCTGATTCAGTACCACAGCTGAGCTGTCTTGGTTACTCTTTGTCTGTGTAATGGTTTACTGGCAGTTCACAAACCTGACAGTCATGCAGGAAATGCCTTTTCTGGTTGTTTCCACCTCCTGCTGTGAACAGCTGGATCTCTGTAGGATTATTGGTGGTGTACTTGCTTCATTAATACTCATTCCCCTGTCTTTCTTGCCCAGGAAGGATACATGACTTGCTGAAAAGAGAAAATGCTATGCTGGGGCTACTCATCTTATGGACAGCCTGGGATAGGTAGCAACCTCCAGGTCATCATTCCTGAGCCACAGGTGTATAGGTTCATCCATGATAGAAATGTTAAGGAGGTGGCATGTGGAGGAAACCACTCTGTGTTCCTGTTGGAAGATGGGGAGGTGTATACCTGTGGCTTGAACACCAAAGGTCAACTGGGGCATGACTGTGAAGGAAGCAAGCCAGGTAAGTCTTCTTTTTATACACACTTCAACCTGTCTTGAGGCTGGTGGGCTGAGACAGCATTATGAAAGCTGCTTTGTGCTGATTGCTATAGAGCTGGAGCAGCCAGCAGAGCTGATAATTGTGTCACATAACACAGTAGTGATGCTGAATAACACTAGCTGGCTCTGGAAAGGCAAAGCTGAGCAGCATGGGTGAGGAGACAGGTCTGCTCACTTTGCCTGGGAAATGCATCAAAACAGATGCATTTCAAAACAGAGGCGAGCACAGATGGTCTCAGGGCAGATTTTGTTATCTGGCATTGTGTTGTCTCTTTATAAAAAGGAGGAGAGGCCCATGAGTCACGAGTGTCTTCTGCTTTGTCTTTCCAATTGCACTGCATTGTTATGCCCAGTCTTATTCAGCTACTGCTGGGAATTTTCTCACTTATACCAAAGAGTGCAAGTGGATCTGTGTTGAGTAGAAATGTGGAAAGCAAAATTGTGTTTGGCCAAAAACAAATTTTGTTTCCCCCTTTCAGAATCTCTTGTCAACTTGTGCCTTCACTCCTTTATGCTTTCTTAATCTGAAAGAACGTCACTTTAGTGTTGTGTTCCCCAGACTCACATTGCATCTTCTTCATTGTGTTCTCATGGACAGAACACGTGTGCTGAACCACAGGCAGCTACTGCCTCTTCTTCACAGGGTGATGGAGTGGCTTAATTGTAAGTTGTTCTTGGAAGAAACCCTGAAGCCTTTCTTCTGGACTCTTTTGAATATTGGCCTTCCAGTTTCCCTTCCATTAACTTCCTGGTTTTGGCATGTGGTAAAGATACAGGTATTTCTGTTTCCATAATATAAAAGTCCTGTGCTGTGGGTAATTAGAGCAAAAATTTCTCTAACTGCAGGCTTCCTCTGTAGGGCTTGGGTCTTCTCTAGTGTCAACTATTATTGCATGATAGAGAGAGAGGGTGTATGCAAAATAACTTCAGTTCGCCATGCAGTATGTGTAAATCTGACCTGACTGACCCAATTTTCCTTTCCTCTGTCAGTGTCTTTTGTCTCTTTCTCTCAGAATGAGTTGGGCAGGTGTTGGGTGCTGGATTCAAGCAGTTCACCTTGAATCTTCCTTCTCTTGCTTTTCTTACAAGTAGTTTCTAGATAATTACTGAAAGAGATTGGGAATAGCAGGAGTGCTTGAGTCCTCTGTGTGCAAGTCTTCTGAGGATTTGTAAATTCGTAAATTAAATGAGATGCTTGGTGAAAGGAAGCCAAGCCTAGTGAATATTCAGCTCAAACTGCTGAGGATACTTCATCCTGCAAATCACCCAGCTAGTTCAAGACTAATGCAGAGGCCCCAGAAATTCAGTACTGTTTTGAGTGCTGCAAAGATACTCTGAGAAACATTTTACCCATAAAATTGTTTAATTTTAAAATTGCTTTTTAAGCATAAGCTGCTGATAAAAGGGGAGGATTCACAGCAATTAGATCAGAGCTGGAAATGGACTTAATGAATCCTGAATGCTGAAGTGTAGACCTCTCTCAGCTAGGTGTCCTGCTTTCAGCTAGACTGGTAGAGAGGGCCAGTCTGAGCTTCTGGAATAGAAATGAAAGGTTCTTTGTGTTTGATCCCAAGTGCCCTTTTTCTACCCCTTAAATTATAGTCTGTCACCAAGATGTGAAACCACATTCCAGTTATCCTACAGGTTTATTTTTTTTCTGAAAAAGGTTCTGCAGTGCTGCTCTCTGAGGAGCCTGTGGCCATCCCAGAGGAATAGTGTTTCAACATGGCATTACTGACTGTGGCTCCAGTAGGATTTCTGCTGGCTGGGGCAGGTGGGAGTGACATGCTGTAAAGAACAGTTGCTCTTTTTAACTTAGAGTGAACAGTCACAGCAGCCTTTATAGTAACAGTAAACTGAGGAAGAACCCCATCACACACTCCTCTGTGCTTTGTCTTGCAGCACTGGGAACTGAATTTCTTAGTTTTCATTTGCAGATGGGAGCAAGAAGAATCAAGCCTTCCTCCTTCACCCTCCCTTCTTCTGCATGGGCTAAAGATGGTGTAAACCTTATATCTTCTGTGTAGAAAGGCCTGTTGAAGATTTTTCCATTGTTGTGGGCCTGTGAATGAAGCCATGCCTGATAGGTGATGAAGATGCATGTGTGGGACACAGGGTCCTGAGCTGTTAGAAATGATAGAGAAGACTGTCAGGAGGAGTCTGCAGTAGAGAATGGGAGGAATGCCAGGAACTGGGAGTCCAGGAGCTGCATCTCTCCAGACTCTGCTGGACAGAGCAATGTGGGCTGAGGTCTCTTGGTTTTCCTGCCCTGTGGCTTGGTCCTGTCAAGCTTGTGAGGGTAGCTGGAAGTTGGACCTCTGCCCAGCTCTGGAAGTGAGCTCCACCTCCTGATGTAGGAGGCTGTGACACAATACTGGCTGTCCCTTTCAGGCAGCCCCTGGGGAGCATCCTCTGGACTTCAGAAATGCTTACCAGGGCTTTACAGAGTGCCTTGGCTGTGTTTGAGAGTAATGCAGAGACATGAAAATGTGCAGGGGTTTTGAACCTTATGAAAGCTGCATTAACTTCCTAGGGGTGGAGTGATCCCCTTCCTGCTGCCTAGGTCTTCCCTAAGAGGAAACTTCCTTTCATTCCTCACTATTCAATTTTGCTTCACATTCAAGCTGCTCATGAAAATGTCAAACAGTGGCGCAGAGGAGCCCTTTAGAGGGCACCTTTTGAAATGAAAGAAAACGTGTTAATTAAAAGCTGCGTTCATGGTCACATCTGCTGACCTTGTGGATGTAGTGTGGAGAGGGGGATAGCAGCTGGCAAAGGGATTCTTATTCAGCTCCTCTACAGGGAACACAAATTACTGGGGGAGTGCATGCCACTGAAAGAGCATAAGTTAGTAGAGGTTTATTTTCTGGAATTGCCCTTTCCTCTGGATTTTACTTTGAGGTGCTAAAACTAATATTTAGGATGCCTAAGAAGTTCAGCCTAACAAAAATAACACACCTTTTGACAAAATGCTAGCTGCTTCTAAGTGTTTCAGACTCTCTTCTTTTGATAATACCAGGGTGATACCAGGTGTGGCACTCCCATGGCTCTGCCACAAGCCATTTTCTCACACTGTCACACTGTTTACTAATTTATTTTTGCTTCGAATTGTGGTGATTAGTAAGGTACTTGAAGAGTCCAGCCCTCTTAGGGGTGGATATCTGGCTTTTTTAATACTTACATGATCGTTTTTCCTCACCTCTTTTTTTTCCTTTTCCTCCTCAAAACATTCAGTAGTTTGTGTCTCTGCAGCCACTTGGCAGGGATGCAGAGGAGGAGGAATGCTGTTCCAGCGTTCTCTCACCATGTCCATGATTAATAAAGCTTCTGTCTGACCTGCCCAAATTTTCACTTCTGTTGTTATGCCCTTGAAGTCTCGAGTCTCTGGCCATGTCTTAGGAGAATCAGGTTAACAATTTTGATAGTGAAGAATCGAACCCCCTGTTTTGCAAAATAGTCTTGAGTTTGCAATTTATCAGGTGATAAATTTATCAGATGATAACATATATCTCTAATGGGAAGCAATAATTTTGTACTGCAGTAGTTTTAGAAAAAAAAGTTTGTTCTTCATAAGTATATCTAAGTCTCACCTTTTTCAATCCTGTAATTTCACTTGGATTTTCTTCAGGTCTTCCATGAGGTCTTGGCTCCCTGTGATGGTTCTTAGATAAGTGTTTTATCTGAGTGTGCATGCTGGAGAACAAAAGACAGGCTGAGGTACCTAAGGTAAAGGCTCTTCTAGGATATAGGTGAAATGAGAAAGGCTTATAAATATGATTGTCTAGCAGAGGATTTAGAAAATACAGAGACTGTGAGTTAACCTGAGATGAGAACAAGCTTTGAAATTTTGGTTGCTAAGCAAGTGGTGGACAGTGGTGTAGCTAGTGGAAGGCAACTCCCTTTCTTGACCCATGGACAGCTTCAAAGGTCAGATAAAGTGATCTGTCTCATCCCTCAAAAATGTATAGTTTATCCTGCATCTGTAACCCTCCCCTGAAGTATCATGTATCTGTAATCCCATTGGTCCAAAGCATCCACTCTGAAGACCCCTTGATAAGGTGTACCTGGGATACCAGGGCACTCTCTCCCTCCTCTTCTCTCTGCCCTCTTGGACCCTCTCTTGGAACTCTCTCCTGCTATCTCTCTCCACTCTTTGGGGCCTGCTTTGACCTGTGGCCCCACAATAAACCGTATATCCTAAGACCTGACTCCAGAGATCTCTCGTCTCCATCCATCCAACCGCCCAGGGGACCAGCCCTCACCACAGGTGGAATTAAAGAGGAGTGTGAAACATCTAGCTGGCTGTAAGTAGTTTGTAAAGCTTCAAAAACCTGCTCGAGTCTGAGGTGTGAAACTTGTTTTCGGCTCTGGAGATTTGTTCTGTTCAAGTCATTGGGACTTCATTCAACTTCTATTAGTGAGAAAACCTGGGCTTTGGTAACTAGTGTCTCAAGAGAGTTACAGAACAATGTCTCAAGCCAAATTTGCCTCAAACCTTTAGCTGGTAAGATACAGCAGACAGTTTTTTTAATAAAATTCCTTGTCTGGATGCAAATTTGCAGGGGACCACTGCCTTTCTGGGCATTGTGGAATCTATCTGCTCATAGCTGCTGATAGAGATATCATCATAATGTTCATTCTTTTTCAGAAAGCAGGAGGAAAATACCACCAAAACAAACAAACAAACTAACCTAGGTGATGTAGACCTTCTGGATTTCTCTGAACTGAAAAGTGACCTTTTCTTTTCAATGTTAGTCCACTTGTCCTGAGTCTCAGCACAGGATTACAGCGGCAGAGAGCTCTGTGTTCAGGTCAGGGCAGCATGCTTGTTAATCATAAACCCCATAACAGCTGAGAATTCAGATGTGCCACCTGCTTGGAAGAACAGTGTGTGTGGATCTTCCTGTTCTAGCCTTTTCCTGGTGGGTGAGAAGTCAGCCACGAGGTCCTGGTTTCTCTGAA